AACAGAAAATTTTTTTTAGAAAAATATTACTACCTTGCAACTTTTCTGAATTCATTGATATCGATCTTTTTAACACTGAACTTCAAAAAAATTATTGATTAACAAAATTGTTTTATAATTGCTTTTACGAAAGCCACAATATTTAATAATAATTGAATTACCTGCTCGCGCTAATCTTTTTTCCAACGAAAGCCAAAAAGTGTTTGTTTTTTTTAGCTTTCATTTTCTTTCTGAATGATGATTCAGATTAGAAACGAGCTCTTTTTCTTTAATTAAAATTGCAAAGTCAAAGTCGGTTCTTACAATTTTAAAATCCAAAATTTCAAATTTGGATTTTTAAATTGTAATAATGTAAATACACTTTAAATATAAAAATCCAAATTTTTAAAAATCCAAAAAAAAAGTAAATTTCTTATTGTAAGAATGTATTTTATTTGTTTGTTACTTTGTCATTTAAATTGTCTGAGCAAAATCAAGAAAATCACGGTTGCAAAGTATCTAGGAATTTTTAGAGAGGGAGAGGGGTCAAGGTTGAAATATTTTTGTATTTTGTTCCACATTTGCGTCTCTAAAAAAAAAAAATTGGTCTTCAATTTTACCTACACCTGCCCCAAACGTGTGAGCAACAAGTTGATAAAATAATTTTTATACTATTGTTAACTAAATCTATATTCATTGATAAATTTTAAAATTCACACAATAATCTTTTAGCATTTAAAAACTATGACCGAACCCCCCTCAGTTTGAGGGGGCTGCAAATTTTATAAGGCTTTAATTGTTTAACGTTAAGAGGTTATTGAGTCAGTTTTTAAATTTATCGATGAATATGTACTTGTTTGAGAATAGTAGAAAAAAATGTTTTATTAACTTATATAGGATAATATATAAATCCGTATATATATATATATATATATATATATATATATATATATATATATATATATATATATATATATATATATATATATATATATATATATATATATATATATATATATATATATATATATATATGTATATATATACGTATATATATACGTATATATATACGTATATATATATATATATATATATATATATATATATATATATATACGGATATATAATATATATCCGTATAAATAGGATTTATACGGATAAGCATTTTTTGGTCTTTAAGATAGCTAACTTCCGGACATGGAGAAAACTTCAAACATTTATATGTTTATACTTATGTCAAATAAGGAGGCTTTGCAAAAAATTGCGATGATTGGAAGTTGGGAACAAAAAATCCCAAAGTTTGCGCCCCCTGCCCCAAACGTGAGAGCAACAAGTTAATGAAATACTTTTTATAATATTTTCAACTAGACTTATATTCATCAAAAAATTTTAAATTTCATAGTAAAATAATTTAGTGTTCAAAAATTATGACTATATAAAGTTTTAACTCACTCAATTTGAGGGTTTGCAAATTTTATATGGTCATAATTTTTGAACGCTAAATTATTTTACAATGAAATTTGAAATTTATCGATGAATGTAAGTCTTGTTAATAATAGTATAAAAAGTATTTCATTAACTTGTTGCTCTCACGTTTGAGGCAGGGGGGGGCGTAAGTTTTATGTGGCTTTTTTGTTCCCAACCTTTAATCATCGCAATTTTTTGCAAAGCATCCTTATTTGATTTGCAAAGCATCCTTATTTTTATAAGTATAAACATATAAATGTTTGAAGTTTGCTCCATGTCCGGAAGTTAGCTATCTCAAAGACCAAAAAATGATTAATCCGCCCCTGGAGGCAGGTGTAGCTAAAATTTTAGAGCTTTTTTGTTCTCAGGCTCCAATCATCACATTTTTTTGCAAAGCATCTTGATTTTTTATAAATATAAAAATATAAATTTTTGGAGTTTGCTCCATGTCTAGAAGTTTTGGAGTTTGCTCCATGTTTTTTTGGAGTTTGCTCCATGTCTCAAACATCAAAAAATACTGCATCCGCGCCTGGTCTTGCCAAAAAAAAAAAAAAAAGCTAAAAAAAAGTTTCTTAGATTTGTTCAAAATTAAATATATATATATATATATATATATATATATATTCTTTTTTTAAATAATATGTGTAAAATATTAGCGGTGTCATTATTTTATTTTAAAATTTATTATATTAATTTTATTATTTAATCTTGTATTGTTATTATACAGTTACAACACCATAAAACTATTAATTGTACATTAAGCATTCATTTACTACTACAGGATTTAATTATATAACAATAATAATTTTAAAAAATATTTGGCTTTGAAAATAGCTGTTTAGTAGGTTTAAGTCATCACACTTCCTTTTTAATGTTTATCTTTCAAAATTGAGGGTGTTTTTTAATTAATCTCGTTTACATATTAATTTACTTTGACTTTTTTAAATCTTTAAAGCTTTCACGTTATCTTTCGCAATATAAAATCTTCAAACTTGTGTATAAAGTATTAGATTGCACATTAAGTAGTAAGTAAATACAATAAACACTAATTGTAGAATAAGAGATACCAAAAACATTTACAATAAGTCATAATAGAATATTTTCTTTAGTAATGTAGTAAGATACGACTTTATAATATCATTGACAAAAAGGTACCAGTCAGATAAACAAAGATAAAATCTGCTACTTCAAAACTTTAAAGAAAAGATTAATTTTTTGAAGGAATAAACTTATGTGCAAGATCTTCTAAAAACGAGTTTGATGCTTCAATAGTAGTTAATAAACAGCAAAAATTTTCTCACATTTGCTTAATTTCCGCAGCAATTGGCGATTGGTAACTAATTGAAAAACGAAAGCAGCTGGAGGTGGAAGCCTGAACATTATTTGATCAAAAAAGATCACCGAGTGTTTTGGCTTCTTTTTTGGAGAAAGACATCACTCAGTGGAAAAAAAGACGTTAATAATACGTCTTTAAAAGTCTTATTTACGATGTTTTTAAGACGTCTTTTTTTAATCGATTGTGCAAATCTAAAAGACATCTTTTTTTCGACATCGAAATGACGTCTTTTTTAATCTTAATCTTGTCATAAAAATGCGTCTTCAAGACGTCTTTGTTTATCAATTATTCACTTCTATAACGTTTATATATATATATATATATATATATATATATATATATATATATATATATATATATATATATATATATATATATATATATATATATATATATATATATATATATATATATATATATTACTTTATTATATAAATTATAAAATAAACTTTAACAGTTTACCCATAGTTTAAAGCCAAGATAAATATTTGACTATAAAAATTAACTACTTTCGCTTGCCAAAAGTAGTTAATTTTTAATTAAATTTTTTATGCAAAAACGTTTCACATAAAAAAAAGTTTTTTAAAAGTTTTTTGTAAATAAAAAACGGGCCAATCAGAACGACAATAATTATTTTTAATTTTCTTAAGCAAATAATGATTTCCTTATTAATAAGGAAAGTTGTTAATAAGCAAATAATAATTTGTTTATTATAATTATAATAAGCGACCTATGATTTGGTTATTAACAACTTAAGATGTTTGCCAATGGGAAACGTTAGTGAATTTTTTCCTCCCCTCCCTAAAGAAAAAAAAATTTCTTTTTTTAAAAAGTCATTGGTATAAAAGACGTCTTTTTTACGTCTTATTAAAAACGTACAACCGATTGACCTCTTTTTGACCTTTTTTAAAAACGTCTTTTTAAAAGACGTTTTTTCAACGTCTTTATTTAGGCTGATTATAGAAAAACATAACAAGTCATAAAAAAGACGCCTTTTATTTGTCTTTTTTTCCACTGGGCAATAACATCCACTTCTGTTTGCCTCTGGAAAGAATTATCCACTTTGTTTAATACTATGGTGTTTAAGAGTAAGTTCTTTTCGTAATAGCAAGGACGTATAAATAGATGGACGTTTAACTTGTTATAGTTCAGAGGCACCGCCATTAACTAAAATCCTATGCGCTTTGTTATGTCTAGCACCTTATTTTGATATAATTTTATACTATAAACCAACGTTTGTCCGACAAACGTCGGTTTTTTTATTTATTTTATAAAATGGCTAAATTTTGCTTTGCTAATTTATTTCAAGAATCGTTTTATTACCAATATAACACTAAATATAAGTTGGAAAATATAAATGCTTTTTATGTAATAAGGATCAAGCACTTGGAAATGTTTAAGCTAATACGTAAGATTTAATAAAAACTTATTTAAAAGAAAAAGTTGGACGTCAAGAATAATTTTTTTTAAAACTCTAAAACTAAAAATCATTTTAGTATATCTGCAATTTACTAAATTGATTACTATAAAGTAAAACATAGACTTAACGTGTAGGTCATATTATAAATCATTAATAAATCAAATTAGAGATTGTTTACGATCACTATTCTCAACAATAACATTTTAGTAACCTCTCGAAGATGTTTTTCTTTTTTGATTTACATTTACGAGCAATGTTTAAAAAAACGCAACTGTGAGGCGGTGAGGCGTACGCTTTTTTCAATTTTGACTATTGTCAAGTTTTAAAAATATTTGCAAAAAGCGTACGCCTCACCGCCTCACCACTACGTTTTTTTAAACATTGTTTACGAGTAGAGTTTTTGTTGAGCTTATAGATTATATAGCTTAAAAACTCTTTGTTATTAAGTTATGCAGGAGTTATACATGGCTAATTGAATATTATAAATGTGTTATTTACAACACTTAAGATAATAGGCCGGGTGAATAAAAATGAGCAATTGCTTTTACTCAGTAATTGGTCAGCTTTACGTGAATAAAAACAATAGGAGTTTTGCTCAAATTTTTATTCACGTAAAGTTAAGCAATTTACTTGGTAATTGTTCGGAATTACGTAAATAAAAAGTTAGAGAAAATTCCTTTAGCTTTTATTCACGTAAAGCTGACCAATTACTGAGTAGAAGCAATTGCTCGTTTTTATTCACCAGGCCTAATATATATTTTTTTAACTTGACAGTCGTCATTTTGACGTATACTTAAATAATAGGATTCCCATGTGACGTATTAAATTACTTTTTGTTTGGCTTTTGTTTTTATAACAATTAATAGAGGTAATATCTTCGCTTCTAAACAATACGCTTAACATCCACCGTCCTATTCATGCATCGTTAAACGTCTTTGGTAAGTTTAACTTGTAATTTAGTTATTATTATTATTTATTTATTTTTCGTTATTGTTTTTGCTTAACAAAAGTAAAAGTAATGTTTTTATTGCTATAAAATTTAATTTTTTGTTTCTTGAATTTATAATTTAAGTTATTCAATTGATACAAAATTTGTAAATACTGCTAAACAAATACTATTACCTGAAAAAATTTAATGAAAAAACGCTATTAATAGATTACCTAAAAATATTTAATAAAAACAACCACAACAAGTTAGTACAAATAACCCGAACTTTGCTATTATATATAACACATAGACGAAAAGAAACACACTCGCATACACGCACACACACGCGCGTACATATATTTTGATTTTATGAAGTAAAATTATAATAATATAAAGTTAATTAGGTCATATCTTTCCCTACCGCCAAGAAGCCCCAACCGAAGTTTTTGAAAAAAAAAAAAATCATATTTAGGTTTTTTTTTCAATATATTTTTTCAGTATTGTTTTATACAAAAAACCTTTTTTAGTAATTATATATTTTTAAAAAGATTTGTTTTTATGTTTTTTATCCGCTAATGATTTTTTATTGCTTTCTTAAGTAAATCTTTTATATTCAAAAGAAGGTTATCTGTTTTTTTATGGTTAATATTATATATATTTTATTTATATATGTGTATATATATATATATATATATATATATATATATATATATATATATATATATATATATATATATATATATATATATTGGCTGAAATAAAAGAAACTTTGGCGTAAAATAGTTGTAAAAACATTGATTATTTGACATTTTATTAAAAAATAGTAGTATTTTTTTTATAACATTGTTTAATCCTTTTTAAAAACTATTTCTTGGGCGTGTTTTTTGTTTTTTGTTTTTTCTCTCTAAAAAACCATTTAGGTCAATCTGAATACCAAGCAAAGGTAATTTAACCCAAGGGAATATTCATTATGCTTTTTATATTTTTATACTTTATACTTTTTATACTTTATTTATGATAATAAATGACTTATAATAATAAGATTCAAGATTCAAGATTCAGAAAAAAATATTCGTTAATATATTTCGACGTTGATGTATTTCAACGAAAAACTGCAGTTAATAATTTATAATATAAAACTGCAGTTAATATATCATAATATAATATAAGTTAATATATTCCGACAAAAAACTGCAGGAGTACTTACAGCTATAAATTAGACGAAAAATTAAGTTGGCTTACCACTAATTTTTATCAAAACTTGGTTTTTTTGATTTCTTAAACCTTTTAATATATTTAAAATTTAGATTTTTTAAAAGAGAAATTAAATTTAGAGGTTATTATTTAAATTTAGAGGTACTTTAATAGTTTAGAGGTCGTTATTAGGTTGGCAAAAAAAATTTGATACAAAAGTTTTATCATAAAACATAGAAACAAGGTCGGCAATTTTTTTGCCAAAATCAAACACTTTTAGGTCGGTAGTTGCCATTGCGTTGCAAGATGCCGACTCTTATTCCGAGGGCTGCATACTTGATGCACAATAAGCAAGGAAGTTTTAAACAATAATAAGTTCATTAAAATATTATATTAATTTATTGCCCACACATTTGGGGTAGAGGAAGAAGCTACTTTTTAAAGCAGAAAACCATTTTCGTATCCCATTTAAAAAGGTAATTTTTAACTTCTTTTTAATACTAAATTTTATATTTTAATAACCTTAGTTAATATATACTGTTTTTAAGTATTTTATATTTTAGCAATTAAATAATAAAAGTATGAATCATAGAATAATTTTTGCAATTGTTGGCTGCCAGTTGGCTATAGCTGTACTTGGAAATGGTAAAATAGTAAATTATAAAAATAATTATTTAAATTATAACAACATTATAAATAAGGTTTTTAGAAAAATAAGATAGAATAAAATTAAACTTTAGACGAGAGTGCTCATCATGGAGAATGGTCATACGACTCAGACACAGGTGTGCATCTTTTTATTTTTTTTTGTAATTTGTTGTTTTGAATAACTTTTGATTAGTCATAATATATTCATAATATATGTTTTATAAATAATATATCTATAACTATTTGATAACAAGTTAAAAACTGGTTCTAACTTATTCTCTATTAATGTTCAAAATTAATGATTCAAACTTTCTATTGAAAAAAATAAAGAAATAAAGAAAAATCATTTTTATCGCTCGATTGTCACACATTGTTTTTACCTCCACCCTATCATCTATATGTTTTTAACCATCCCACTTTGTCCCCATAACAGTTTTTATCGTTTCTCCCTAATCCTCATAAAGTTTGTAGCCATTTTTACATTTTTTTTGTTTTAAATTGATTTAGCCAGTTTTATTTTAACGTTTTCATAAAGCAAAAATAAGAACGGTTCATGATTCAAATACAGCAGTGCATACACTTATTTTCTTTCTTAATTTTAATACTTTGAATTTTTATTTTTCTTTGAATATATATATATATATATATATATATATATATATATATATATATATATATATATATATATATATATATATATATATATATATATATATATATATATATATATATTTATATATTATTAAGAAAACATCAAATAATACGAATTCTCTTAATACAAATGAGAATTTATTATTAGAAATTTTCACTGGATTATGGTTACCAGCATCATCAGCACGTAAAAATTAATTTTTACGAGCTGATGATGCTGGTAACCATAATCCAGTGAAAATTTCTAATAATAAATTATCACTTGTATTAAGAGAATTCGTATTATTTGATGTTTTCTTAATAATATACATACACTCTTATACACGATGTCAACACTAAAGTTATATATATATATATATATATATATATATATATATATATATATATATATATATATATATATATATATATATATATATATATATAATATATATATATATATATATATCAGTCGTGAAGCAATAATACTTTCTGAGTATGTTTAAGTTATTAAAATGATTTATTGCCTGCATGAATTTCCCGTTTGCAAATATAATAATTTAAAATAAATATTAAAATAAAAAGTTCATAACTTTGTCATCTGGTCACGTAACCGGGGCAAGATGCTTATTATGCAATTTTTACCACTATTTTTATAAAGTTTTAAAAACTACCAATAAATCTAACTAAAGTAACAAAAAATAAACACAAGTCGCAAAAAACTACTTCTAAAGAAGTTAAACTTGAAGGATACCATCCATTCTGAGAAACCGAAAGTGAGGAACTTTTTTTTAAGCGCAAAAAGTAAACTTATGCGTATAAAATTGCGTTAATAATATTTCAAAAAACCGAACGGTGATTTAAAATACAAAATGCAAATGCAGTTTTGTTTTCACCCTATTTTAAGATTTTTTGTTGATTGGTTATATGATAACCCATCTTGCCCCTTTTGCCATGTTGCCCCGCTTTCCCCTTTATATATATATATATATATATATATATATATATATATATATATACGTATATATGTATATATATATATATATATATATATATATATATACGTATATATGTATATATATATATATATATATATATATATATATATATATATATATACATATATATATATATATATATATATATATATATATATATATATATATATATATACATATATATATATATATATACATATATATATATATATATATATATATTTATATATATATATATATATATATATATTTATATATATATATATATATGTATATATATATATGTATATATATATATGTATATATATATGCATATATCATATATCAGTACATATTGTTATATACATTTTTATTGCATTCTCATATTTTCACGTACTGTTTTGCCATTGAACATTTTAGACTTAAAAAAATCACTTTTTTTAGTCTATATCTATTGACCTGTTTTTTTTGTGAAAATATTTTTAAAAATTCCTCGATTCTGCTAGCTTTTTCTATAGATTCACGACTTCAAAGAACTTCTCTAGGATATCTATTTATAAACGTCTGTTTTTAAATTAGAGTCAATATATTAAGAATTAAATTAATCTATTTTTTAACTCTGTAGGTGAGTTAAACCCTTCTAAAAACAAGCCGATATCTTTTTATTTTGTTCCTCAAAACTGCTTGAAATTATGATGTATATTAGGTTATGAAACTTTTGAAAACAATATGCTGAACAATGAGAAATTTTGTCTTTACAAAAAAACATATCAATAGTTGATATATTTATTCATATAGAGAGCTAATAGTAGAATTAGTTACTCATTTATTTATCGAAGATATTAGTATAGATGATATTTGAAATAAAAGAAACAATAGTAAAGTTAATTATTTACTTAATGCATTTAATGAACTCTGTTTTACACTAGATGCTTTTATCAATCTGTCTAAAGCTTTTAAACAACATAAATCCCTCCTTACGCATATGTAAAAAATAACTTTTTACGCATTTATAAAAAAAATCCTTAAGGCGAGTTTCCACTTATCCGTTTTTTCACGGGAACGAGAAAGGGACGGGAAAAATAATCACGTGGGCATGGGTAGAATAACTTTTAATATGTCTGAAAGAAAACTACGCATGCTCACGTGATTATTTTTTCCTTTCCTATCCCGTTCCCGTGAAAAAACGGATGAGTGGAAACTCGTCATTATAAAAACGGAACATCCCAGCAAGCACAAGGACGTCGTAGTATTGTTACGAGGTTGGTTGTTTCGAGGCGCTTTTAAGTAACATTTTTGCAATGTCATATCTATGGTGAAAAAAAGATATTTGCGTTGAAAAATTAACCAAATATCTTTGTTTTGTTTTTGCTTGCAACTTTTATTTTCATATACCAACTATCTCAAATTTAAATGTTCCTTATGATTAGTTATAGAGGAAAAATAAAACAGTTATGAACTTTAGTTGAAAAAAATCATACTTATAAAATAATTTCTTAAAGAACTAATTATTTATATTACATTAAACAACCACACAAATCTGTCTTTTAACATGCTCAAACTAAACAAAATCATGTGACATTATTTTTCGTTCTAATTGTTGCTAATCTTTTTAATAATTAGTTTATAACTTTAAATACATAAAAGATGTAAGAAATAGTTTTACATTAAAAACAGATTCTTAACTAACTGTTAAAGTTTACCCTATCGGCACATCTAGTTTCTTTTTCGGAAATAAAACCTATATAGGCACGTGTTTTTCACGATCCAGGCGTAAACCAAAAGCACGTGTATATTACGGGCAGTTTTACCAGAGTTTAACACGTGATTTTTGAGGTTTTAAAGTCAAATTTAAATATTGCATGTTTTTATCAGTGGTTTCACATTTCTTACGGAAAGTTATTAAAATATAATACTGCGTTTCCACAAAGGTGAAACCATTAATACTTTAACTGGTATTTATGGTAAATAGTAATAGTTAATTTCACGGAATAAAAACCATTTAGGATACGTGTTATTCTTTTTGTTTTAGAAGGTTTTAAAAACGCAACAGAAACCAAGCGTAACTGTTTTCTGAGTTGTGCCGGCTGGGTACTCTAAAATTTATTTATAAGCAGTTCTTGAAATTTTTTGAATTTGATTTTGCAAAAAAAGATTGCTTAATTGGTTTTCATTCCTTATAATATCAATACAATACCCTTAGGGTTGTATAGATTTTTATAATGAATAAAACATACCTATACAGGCTTTAAAAATATATATCAGTGCATATTATTTGGTACAATTTTATAACATTTTCACATTTTCACGTACTGCTTGCCATGCACCTTTTTCAAGTGACTAACTAAAAGTTCAAATATATAGTAGTTGTTCTAACATAAACTGTCATAGATGTGAAGCCAGTGGTCAATAAATCTTAACTTAATTATAAGTTTAGCGTTAAGTCTTTGAAATATTAGTTTAGTGAACCACATTATTTTTTTATGACTTTACAAAAATAAAACTTTTTTGAAGTAAATAGGGAATCAGTTAAAAAAACAAAGAACAAAGCTCATAGCAAATAAAAAAAAAACTCTACTATTGATAAAGACCCTCCAAGTTCTTTAAATTTAATTTTTGGTTATTCTCATAAACATGTTTCAAAATGTTTCATCCAAAAGTTTGCTAAAAGTTCTATAAATTTGCTATTTTTGGAGATATATAGATGATATTTTTTTACTTTTTAGATTATTTTCTTCCCTCCATTCAGATGTGGTAAAAACTAAACTTAATTAAAATAAACGAAACTAAAAATAATTTTTTTAAGTACTTTTAAGAATTAAAAAAAAATCACAATGCGCGCTTCAAATGTAAATGTGAAAAAAAAACTTAATTCGGATCTGAATGTCACACTTTCACTGAAATAATTCGTTACATCGCTACGATGTCCTTATAAAGTTTTTAAAAAGACGTCTTTAAACTGACGTTGCAGTAAAGTCTTTAAAAGATTGTCCGAGGTCATAACCTAATAATGATCTAATTGCAAAACTTATTTAAAAAGTAAAAGTAGGAGATCATTTTGCTTTTTTGCGCAGTGGTTTCGCTGGACTTTAAATTTGATTTTATAATTGGTTTAATTAAAGAATCTGGGAGGGAAAACTTTTAATCCTTTGTCTTTTGTCTATAATTTTAATTTTGCTTTACGTAATTTATAGACGATCGCTAAGTTTAATAAAAACCACAGAGTAAAAAAGCCTTATTTCTCCTATTTCTGCATTTTAAATACAATTTGCGTTGCGTAAAATATAGACTATCCCAACGATATTAATCAAGTTATTATCTTTTTAAAACAGAAATGTTTTAAAAAGATAATAATTTCACTCGAAATTTTATTATTTCTCATCATTCAAAAGATAGCACAGTGAATCTTTATTCATTAGCACAGTGAATCGAATATTCAAGCTAAGTCAAAAAAAGTATTTTGTTCTGGGTTTAACTTCTAAGTAGGAATTAATATATAATTGATTAGTTATGCGTCTTTTAAATTGTTT